CATGGTAACTGTTATGTATTGGGGGCAATTCTGGAAGAGAATCATGCACAAAATATCCGCCGCTTACTGCATTATGTCAGGACTCTTACTTTTGGAATATAAAAAATATGAAACTTTACTTTCACCATACGGCCAGTGTCACCATTTTATCCTCAAAGGAGAAGTACAGAGACACCTAAGACACCCTAAGAGAAACGTACAGTTGTTTACATCTCTTATTCAGCTTACAGCATCTCTCAACTACACAAATAAAGCCTCTTACAGAGCTTCACTAAATAATAATTTATATATATATATATATTTTAATGACATGTGCTTGCACAAGTTTATCGCCGTGTTCAATGAATTAAACCATGTAAGCAAATATAGTTGCTGCTGCGGGGCTTTCCCTTATTCAGAGATTTATGGCCAATATACATACAGAAACATGCACAAAAAAAAAAAAAGCAACAACAACACAGAGAGGCTGCAGATTTACAAAAGATTAGTAGCTAAATATCTGCAGTTGTATAAGGTTGCTCAACAACAAGAAAACCTTACGTCTTTCACGGTCCTGCAGTCTGAAAAATACTAGTTGTTATCCATGTTTAGTGTAAATGTTAAATGTTTAGCCCTTTAACAAGATTGCATAACACATACTTGAAAATGATAGAAATCTCAATGCATTATTTCTGGTAAAACAACTACCAACTAATACACTGAACAATTTGTAAATAAGTAAACTGAAATTATTTGATCATAGGAAAAAATTGCAAAAGAAGCTGATGAAAATAAAATTCATCTCACCAGAGAAAAAAAGAACAAGGTAAACCGTGTACTGGTAAAATTGTAAGTGCACATTAAATGTCATAAGTGTGAGCTCACTATCACTAATATATAATATGCTTATTTGGTTTTGTCAGCAAATACAGACTGCAATGGAGACCCCAGTGCAGACTAGTAAAAAATTAGATACTCTGAAGTTTGAAACTTTTTTGAACAGAAGCGTTTTACCACTTCCTGTTTCACAAATGGAAGCCATCAAGAAGACAGATAACAGAGATACATCTCCATGGAACTTATCAAGAAAGGTTATGTGCACTCCACAAAAGGTTTGACATAACCACAATGCATTTTGTACTTTACATTATAATAGTTCTGATTTTGAAATAGTTTTGCTTCATGTCACAACATTGTGCTTTTATCCTCCTGCTTACATTAAAAACAAAATAGGAAATAAAAAAAAACATCAAGGAGGGTTAGTTGTAAATACTGACTGTAAATTATCCAAGGCAGACTGACAGTGTTAAATCTTAAATTATATTTGTTTAAATAATTTGTGGACTGTGATATAATGTTAAAATATAATATGTCTTTCTAGACTTATGTTGTGAAGACACCACCTAACAATGGAAAACTACAATCTGAACAATTGAATACACTACAGCAAGAATCAGCTAAGAAGAAAAGAAAAGTTGCTTTGGAATTTGACTTTCACTCTGACAGTTCAGAACAAACAGATATTTTGGTTAAGTATTGTGAAATACTTAATCATAGGCCAGTGTCACAATTTAATGTTTTCATTTTGGGTGTTATGCATTTTAAACATACAATCCATATAATATTGTCTTTATTTATTTTAGGCTAAAATCATATGGAATATTTTCCATGGTGTCCTCTTTTTTCACATAGTGTCCAGCACTGCATAAACCACTTACCACTAACTGGGTTGACATTGAAATGAGTGTCATTATATATAGCTCATTTTATGACACATATCATCAGAGGGCAAGGTACATAGCTTTGCCAGGTTCCCTAACATTGAAAAGTACAGAAGTGTACACCATGCAGTGTAATCACGCCTAACTACAGCAGGCTTAGGAGAGACTGTGGGTTAGGGGTTTTAGGATTAAGGATGCCATAGAATTAAGAGGCACTTAAAAACTTGATACCTATTTCACACTATGCTGTAGAACTAACTACGCCTCAAACATAAACCCCCATAACGGTAATTATTTATTTGTATCTTTGTCACTTTATTCCGTTGAGTATTTTTGCTGTATTCCCATTACAACTAAACCTTTCTCCTCCTTCCCCATTTCTTTTTCTTTTTTTTTTATTTCATATTTTTTGTATCGTTTAGATTTGCAGTAAATTCTTATATCTCCCTATATCAGATTAAACAAGCAACAGTTAAAATTAGTATGAGTTTTTGTATTGGTTGTAAATTTCAGAATGCATTTTACATAGTAGTCTAGGTTTAAAAATTACGAAAGTCCATCAAGTCCAACCTTGAACCACATTTCTTTCATGCTGTTGATACAAAGAAGGCAAAAAACCCCCCCCACAATCATGACCATTTCCAATTATGCCACAACCAGGGATAAAATCCTTCTTACCTGCTTAATGGCAAAAAATTTCTTCTTGGATCTACAATCTGTTTACATACTTAATAATTACATAAGTGAGTATTATGTTTTTGCAAAAATAGCATTCATGCTTTTATTAATGTTCTCTATAAAATCTGATAAGACAGCGTCTTTAGGTAGAGAATTCCACATCTTTTTGTTCTTACTATAAAGAAACCTTTCTGTACTGTAAGCGAAAACGCCTTTCTTTCAGTCTAAAAGGGTGCTCTTTTGTCTTATATATGCATACTAATAAACAGTGTATCACACAATGGTTTGCACCAACCCTGTATATATTTATATTGCTTTCATATCCCCTCTGAGGTGCCTTTTAAAAAAAGAAAAAGAAAAGGCAGAGCCGCAGACCAGAGTGTCAGGATTACAATATTATCCAGCACGTAGAATTGTGTAACACAGGAGACTAATAGGTAACGTATACCGGGCCTTAGAATGGCCGGATTCACGTACCAAAGAATAGTCAGGAATAGCCGAGGTCAGGGGACTCAGAAAGGGACACAACGATAAAGGAAAGAGGTCAGGGATACCAGAAAACAGGGAAGTCAAAATCAATGCCAAAGTCAAATAACCAGAATAAGGAAGGCGCTCTCGGACAACCGCTAGGGAAACCACTACAGGGCAATGAGGGAAGGTATTTTAGGTTTAAATACCTGCTTTACTATTCTGATTGGCTGAAATCGGTCTTTGACCACAAAACGTGCACACGTGGTGCGTGCGTGATGTCACATGCACGCCGACATCGTCAATCAAGTGAGCGGACGTGGGGGTATATTTTCCCATGGATCCGCAGCGGCCGGTGTCTATTAACATGCCGCAAATGTTAGTCATGCTGGGTGCAGAGACTGCAAGGTGAGCTAAGCGGCCTTAGGCCGCTGTACAGCTCACCTAATTAGAAGGAGCTGATTCTTCTGACAAATGACTCTCAATGCCCACTTCCAGATCATTTATAATCACTTTAAAGAGAATTGGAAGCAGGATAGAACCCTGAGACACTCCATTTACCACTTTTGTCTAATTTGAACATTTTCCTTTTACAAAAACTCTCTCACTCAATCTTTAAGCCAGTTTGAGTTCTTTTCTTTTTTTTTTTTTTTATAATTTATTTCGTTTTTTCTTGTAAAGACATACAAAACATTGCCATCAACAACAATGAATATAAAAAATGTAGACAATTACCTCAAGTTGAATAAAACATATACCTTACACATTACCATATTCCTATATTAGTGCTTATTCCACTTGTCTTGTGCTCAAAAATATTATTACATAGAACTAATCCAAATACCATACTGACAAGATCACCAATCATTCCAGAATTTTAAACCAGCATTTCCTCTAAAATTAAAGTGCATTATATTTATCCGTATAAGTCATCCTAATTATCTTATTATTATATCATCATATCTTAATTAGTTGACTTTATGTGCCTTCATTATTGTGATAGACATAACAAACATACAAAAACAAACACTATTATGCATTGCAAACTCTACTTGGGGAGTATCAGTGGAATCTCTATTCCGTTACCTTATATTAAAAAAAAAAAAAACAGAAAGAAAATTAGAAAGAAAGATATTCTGTTTATTTTGTCCAGGACTTTATATGACCATACACTCCATTTTTTCCTTCCAAAAATTACTAACATCTCGAATTTTTACTGACTGGTATCCCAAGGCCTCCATAGTTAATTGGTATTTGACTTGTGAGTATAATTGGTCCTGTGTAAAATTTGCACTACTCTTCCAGTTCCTTGCGATTAATATTTTTATTGCTGCTACAAAGTGAACATATATAAATTTATTTTTAAAAAGGAGTGATTGTAAATTTAGGTGGAATAGACCATTATGATGGCCTCTAGGGATGTTTGTCTCTGTAATGTACTCCAATGATTCGAAGGCCATATACCACAGATTTTTCACCTTACTACATTCCCACCATATATGTCCAAAAGTCCCTACTTTTTTGTTACATCTCCAGCACAATGAGGAATTAGAGGTATACATTTTGGACAATCTGGTGGGAACTAAATACCAGCGGTTCATAATTTAAATAATACCTCAAGAAGGCTCAGACAATGGATTATTTTACTTGTTTGAAATAAAACTTGATCCCATTCAGTCTTGAGAATCTGTACATTTAGCTCTTTACTCCATTTCTGAATATTTACATTCATATTTGGTGCTTCAATTTGAAGAAGAGCAGTCCTTGCCTTTAAAACTATTTGCGGTACATTCTCGTTTTTTAATAAGGCTATCAAGTTTTCTATAACCGCTGTGGGTCGATGTAACAAAAACTGTTTAATAAAGCCTCTAATTCTCAAATAATTATACCACTCCTTCCTAGGTAGTGAAAATTCTTGTATCAAATTTTCAAATGGTTTAATTTTATCTCCCGATAATATTTGGTTTATAGAATTAATGCCTTTCCCTGTCCATATAGTTGCATTTAAATCTTTCATCCTTAATTGTATAATACTAAAATTAGAATTTCCCAGTATTTTATTACATATTCCACAGTTAATCCTCAACTTTTCCCACTCCATTAGTATTGATTTCAAACTATTATTAGAAGAACAGACCTTCTTGATTCTTTCATCTTGTTTAGTTAGCCAAATTAATTGATATAGGTTTCCCGTTTCTACCATCTCCATTTCTAATTGGTACCAACCCGCTTCCTCTGAACTTAAGAGTTGCGTCTTATATATATGAAACATCATATTGGCTAAATAGGTTATATTGACGTTTGGAAAATTTATCCCTCCTTTCCTCCTCTTCTGCATCAAAAGTTTTTTATTCATCCTCGGCCTTTTTCCTTTCCATATAAAGTTATTTATATCTCGTTGTATCATAGATGGTTGTGGCATACTCAGGGGGATCATACGAAATAGATAGGACCATTTAAGGAGTAAATACGAATTAACCAGATTAATTCTACCCCACCAGAATAGTTCAATTTGTCTCCATCTTTTTAGTGACTCATGTGTTGATCTAAATGTTTTCAAAAAATTTATTTGTATCGTATCTTTTGAGTCATCAGTAAGCATTATTCCCAAGTAAGATAGGGTATTTTTATTACAATTAAATTTATATTTATCTTTAATATGTAGAATACATTCTCTAGAAATATTTATAGCTAAAAAGTAGATTTAGTTACATTTATTTTATAATTTGAAAACAGACTGTATTTGTCTACCTCTTCCATCAGAGCACTAAGCGATTCGACAGGGTCGGTTAAGGTCAAAATCAAATCATCCGCATATAGATTTAATTTAAATTCTTTCTCTCTATATCTAAATCCTTTGATTCGAGAGTTATTTCTTATATTAATAGCTAGAATCTCCATTGTCATAATATATAGAATAGGCGACAAAGGACATCCCTGTCTCGTTCCATTTTTTTAGTGTAAACCAATCAGCACATATGTTTGGGGCCACTGTTCTTGCTTTTGGACCTTCATATAGTGCCAGAATTGCATTAAGCATCCTTCCCTGTATGCCAAATTTTTCCATAGTTTTCCTTAAAAAGACCCAACCGACCCTGTCGAAAGCTTTCTCAGCATCTACAGCCAATATAAATAAAGATTTTTTATTTCTTCTAGATGCATCTATCAAATCCAATAATCTTCTAGAATTATCTACTGGGTCTCTGCCCTGTACAAAACCAATTTGATCATTTTTAATAATATTATCCATAAGTCCCTTTAATCTATGAGCCAAGACTGATGAAAAGATTTTAACGTCTGTATTGATTAACGAGATAGGTCTTTAATTTTCCACCTTCAAAGGATCTTTATTAACTTTAAGAATTGGGAGAATGTTTGCTCTCAACATTTCGGTAGGAAATTTACCGACTGGCACTATTTCGTTAAACATATTTGTTAAATGGCAAGCTATAAGATTTTTGAAAGATTTATAGAATATATTTGCAAAGCCATCTGGGCCTGGCGTCTTATCTGGTTTTAACTTGTTTATTACTGCCTCTACTTCTTGAACTGTAATCAAAGTGTTTAGCTTATTTCTTTGTTCTACCGTGAGTTTAGGTGTATTAATTTTACTCAAATAGTCATCCTCATTTATTATTGAGGGAGTTAAATTATACAAAGCCTCATAATACTTATTAAATCTCTCGCCTATTTTTTTGGGGTCCATATAGACCCCTTTATCATCCACTATCTTTACTATTTTGCTGGATCCAATTTTATCTCTTAGTTTTTTAGTCATGACTCTATCTGCTCGGTTCCCCTTATAATAATAATTTGCTTTAAGTTTATTCATAACTTTTGCATTCTTTGCTATAAGGAAATTATTAATTTTGTTCTGAATATTTTTCAAATCATCTGCGTTTTCTTTAGAGGGGGACTGCTTATTCTTGATTGCAGTCTTTTTTAATTCTTCTTGTAATGCCAGAAAAAGTTTATTGTTTTCTACTTTGTATCTTGTTTGTATACTTATTATGTTACCTCTCATGGTGGATTTAAATGCACACCAATTATTTATATATGAGGTATCCTTTGGATCATTTTCAAGAAAAAAAGTTACAATTTGTTTTTCCAGCATATCAAGATTGATCTTAGATTTTAACAGATTATCGTCCATACGCCAAGTATCACGGCCAGTCCTGATCCATTGGTTTTTCGTCTCCCACATATTGATACTATGATCTGACCAGGTATTATCAAGTATCTTAAAATATTTGATATTTGTTAGTGTTGTTATATTGCCCCAAACCATATCTATTCGAGAGTACGACAAATGTGCACGTGAAAAGAACGTATATTCCAATGAATCAGGATTGATCGTTCTCCATAAGTCAAAATAGTCAAAATTAATCATATTTCTCTTAATAGATTTTGCAAGCTTGTCTGTTCTTTTTTGATGTAATAATATTGAAGTTGTCTTTTTGTCTAATATCGGTTCCAATACACTGTTAAAATCCCCAGCTACCAGACACATGCCTATTTTAATGGATTCCATTAAACCTAAAACTTTTTTAAGGTTGGAGCAGGAAAATCATTAGGGAGATATATATTAGTCAGTGTATAAGGTATCTCATTCAGTTTACAACAAACTATAACATATCTACCTTCCTTATCTTTAATTTGATGTATTATATCCACTTTTAATGTGTGGGAAAAAACTATTGCTACTCCACTTAGTGAAGCATGTATCACTGTGGGGAATTTTAAACCACCCCAACCTTGGTTATCCATATCTATCCAATGGGTTTCTTGAAGGAAACCTACTTCCACTTTATTTCTTAACATACAATCATATATTAGAGATTTTTTAGTTTTAGAATTTAGTCCCTGGACATTAACCGAAATCATCTTTACCATTTTAAATCAAAAAACATTATTGACCCTGACCCCAAGAGAGTTGCAATGCATTTACATAAAACACAAATAGTCCATTGTGCATAGACCAAAAATAGCCTTATGGGAAAAACACCCAGTCTGGCCCAACACAGCCTGGTTCCTGAGAGGTTATCTCTCGACTCACCCCTCAAGGGCCATCTATGTCCTCGTAAGATGATATCTTTAGTTACCATATCACGGTATTTGTGTCAACAAAAAAAGATGACACTTGGTGGGGCAATATAGCATCAGAGTGACCGAAACTCATATTCCTTATTTTTAAGAACACCCAATTATCTCAAGTGGCTACTTTTGGAGAAAAAAAGAAAGAAAAAAAAAATATTTTTACATCCTAGATCCATTAGTAATTCTTTGTATATAATAATAAAATTTACCCAGTGTGTATGCTTAATTTATCCCTTTATAATATTAACTCTTTCCATACTTCTTAAACATATTACCAATAAATCCAACTTCCTCTTATACCAACACTTGTTCTATCTCCTACCCCTACTTTACCTCTATCAGTTCTTTACTCCCACACACACACCCTATCTTAATATCATGATTCAAAAAAAAAAAATATATAATTATGATTGTCCTTTTTCTTCATCCGGACGGCTTCAAGGCATCTTCAATTATTAGTTATTATCCATGATTATGTTGCACCCGATATTGATTTTTCTTCCATCCATTTTCTCAAGGCATCTAAAGTTGTAAATTTTTCATTTTTTTCTCTCCAGAAGATCCTGAGACATTTGGGAAATCCCCATATGTATTTCACTTCTTTAGCTCTTAAAATGGATAGTTCCAGACTAAAACTTTTCCGCCATGCTCTTGTATGAAAAGATAAATCTGGAAAAATCTTCAGATTCTTAAATCTCTCTTCCATGACCGGATTGTTTCTCAAAGAGCTCATTATTTGATTTTTAAAATGGAAGGATTGGAATTTAACAATTACGTCTCTTGGTGATGATTCTGCCACATTTCTGGGGCTAGGTAGCCTATGGAATCTTTCTAATTCAGAATCTTGTAAACCAACTTGAGATAGTACTGACTCAAAGTATTCCATTAGAAATTTTTTCAATGTTGAGTCGTTAATTTGTTCAGGGATATTACGAATTCTTATATTGGTTCTCCTGGAACGATCTTCCAAGTCATTTAATTTATCCTCTAATTGTTCTACCTTAGATTGCAGATCTGTCATTAATGACTCTATATGTACATATTTTAAGTCAGTTTGCATCATCTTAGATTCTATGGATTCCAATTGGCCTTTCATACTTCTTAATTCTTGTTTTAAATCCAATGATCCCTTTTGAATGTCTTCTTTAATATTCTCCTGAAATTTATCCAGGTAGTTAATTAGAGTCTCTTCAGTAAGAGGTTTACCTGCTTGTGCAGCATGAGAGGGATTAGAGTTAGATTTGGGGGAGGGGAATTATCCTGATTTTCGGAATTCAATTGGAATTTATTTGGGGGAAGGGAGAAATATCCTGATAGCCTTTTGTCAGTGATGGTATCTTTTTTTCTTTTCTTCCTGTGGCTTTCTGGTTGCCATTTTGTTTTCTTTAAAGATTTTATCCCTTTTTTTTTCTTTTTCTTTTTTCTCTTTTTTCTCTTCCTTCCTTTCTTTTCTTCTCTCTTTCCTTTTTCCTCCCTTATCTCTTTTCTTTTCTTCTCTTTACCCCTTTTCTTTCTTCCCTTTTCGCTTTCTTTTTCCTTCTCCTTTCCCTTTTTCAGGGAGCAGGTCTCTGTATCTTATTCTCGTATTTATAATACATCAATTTTATAAGATTTTTATTATTATTATTATTTTTTTCTCCCCTCCACTTTCTCCTTCCCCCTGTTACGTTATAATAATAATAATTCACTGCTTTGTGCTCTCTTCCCTCCTCACCACCCTTCTCTCTTTCACCTTCTCAGTTCCATTATGGCACTCATGGTATTAAAGAGCAAACTTATCATTTCATCCGCATTTCAACCGCTCGCAGAGTCCTCACACCTCACCAGATTACCAGTGTGTCTCCGCCCGGGAGCTCCGAATACCCACTCGATATTCAACGTTCCAGTTCCAGATTAAAGCTGAGAATAGCTGGATAGCTGAATAGTTAGAAAAAGAACCAGCGAGAACTCAGCGGATCCTCCTGTCGAGCATTCCCTCAAGCCGCCAAAATCCCTGCCGGCCACTCTTCCTCCATATCGCCCCTCCTCTCACGTAGATGCTCACATGCGTCAAGAACACAATTTTTCATCTAAATTAACTGATTTCAGTGTTAATAATAATCTTTTTCCTATCTATATTTCTACATTTCTTCATAGAAAGCAATTAAAGGGACACTATAGGCACCAAACAACTTTAGTTGAATGAAGTTGTTTTAGTGTATATTCTTGCCCCTGCAAGATTCCCTTTACATTTTTAAATAACCCGGTTAGTAAGCATGCTTGCTCTGTGAGTTGGTACTGTGGGCTATATAGATGCACAGTAAGTCACGCAGGAAAAATTAAGTAATCATTCCCCTAATTAACTCTTGCAGAAAGTGCACTGAAGGATGGTGCTTTAAACCCTATAAACACACCAGCAGCTTTCACAATATAATAGCAAACTAAAGTATTAGGTTATAGTTTACACATCCAGCAGATAAGAGCAAATTGTGATGTAAATTGGTGTGTGTGTACTGAAGATCTCTTGCTCGTTTTAGCTGCCAAACCTGGTGATTCCCCACAGCATTTAACAAGGCTTTTTTAGGAACAAACATTCTTACCCACTAAACACCAATTTGAATTTGTAGCGAACTGAAACCTGCATGTTAAAATTTTGGCAAAATTAGTGGATAATGAAAATTGTAATTCTTCACAATTCAGCATTTAGTGAAACAACCAGTAAGTGAAGCTGGTTCTTGCGAGTTCAGATGGAATTACACCAATAAAATGCTGAATGTTGCCTATTAAATAAAACATATGTATGTGAGAGTATGATATGAGATAAGGAAACTGTTATTTTATCTTGTTATAAAGAGGATATAAATATAATTACCGTAAAATAATGCTACAACTAGAAATACCTCCGCTGAATTAGTACCTTCTCCATTTTTTTTCTGAAGGGCATTTGTGATGATGATGAGATGCTCAAAAAGTTAACACAGAAATGTAGAACACGTGATACAGTTTCATCTGTGACTCAAAAAAAGGTATTTTCTGTGGCGTAGGATTTAACTACCAATATTAACTTATAAATACAGGTGTTTTTTATGAAGATTAATAAAGATAAATTGGATACTTAGAAGATTAGATATTTTAATATGGATTGATTTAGGAGATTTTACTAGATTTATTAGGATTATGTGAAAAACAAATAGTAATAAATCTGAAATTAGTTAATGGAAATAAATGCCACAGGCATTATGCACTGTGGCATATATATGGTGGCAATGATAGGGTTAATAGTGTGGTTAATATGTGAGGTAGTTTAGAAGAAGGAAATGACAGTGCTGTTGCTAGGAGACTGGAGCTGGACTGGCATTGGACTTAAATTGTGAGCTGGAAAACAGTGGGAAACTGGGAAAGCATGTTAGTAGAGTGTGAGACAAAATCTGGTCAGCCTTTTCAATGGACATGAAGAGTGGCACGGATAGACCCTGGACTCCCCCCATTTTGATTTACTTGTCGTAGTGTTTATGTAAGCAATATGGGGCCAAAAGCCATCCTCAGGGTTAAGTTATGAGCATGGTATGAAATGGTATGAAGATGCCCAGGTAATTACCAGATTTTACTATTAACATGACGTAAAGTCATGATTTTATTAATGACACGGAGGCGAGTATTATGCATTCTCTTTCTTTATTTTACTCCCAGCAGCAAGAAAAGGAAGTATGAGAGAATCATAGAAAAAACATAACAATAGCCTTGTAACACTAGCACCAATCAGCATCCAATATTGTCCATACGGGTGTGGTGCTCCTTGACTCCTCCTCTTTCTGTGTAGATCCTGAAGACCATTATTGTAGGTTCCAAAGTATTCCAACAAAAAAACACGAATTCCCGAAACAAACCCTTAACCGGAAATTCAACAAGGAACAGCTTCAACCGCCAACTCTCGAAGGTGTATTCAAGCTAAAAAAGAAGAAAATATATGGTAATATCGAAAGCTTGCAACTGCTAGGTCACAACTTTCAAACTCGTCAACCATGTTATTCAATCGATATAAGTATCATATAAGTTATTTATCGGATACCTTACTCACCTGCATGCCGTGTATGACATTTGTACCTACCATGTCATATCATCCAAAAGGCCCAATGACTGACCTGTAACTTAACCACCAACATGGGTAGGGCGGGTGGGAATAATACTCGCCTCCGTGTTATTAATAAAATCCTGACTTTATGTCATGTTAATAGAAAAATCTGGTAATTTTATTAAAGATACGGAGGCTCCTATTATACTATTTTAAAGCTGAGCAACCACCAAACTGGAAATATGTTGCACCGGACGAAAGTAGAAATGACGAAACGTAGATTCATTCGCTCAATCAGCCGCTCGTAGGATGTCTTCCAATCTACAACCTATTATGGAAGCCTTAGAAGCCATATCCCCACGAATGGAGTGTGAGGAAAAAATTTAAGTGTCTATGCCTGCCACGGACAATAACCACTTGATCCAACGAGCTAAAGTAGGAGTAGATACTGGTAGATGTGGTACTTGAAATTAGATGAATAATGGATGGAGTTGATTTAAACGGAGTGAGATCGTATGGCGCTCGTATTCCTTAAGACATAACACTGGGCACAGATTTGGGTTGTCTGGAAACGACCCGATACACCCTAACCAGGGCTCTAACATACCCACTAGGTTAAAGAGGTAATTTTCTAAATGATGCTCACATATACGAATTTTCCTTTATTGCTCTCACTTTTACTTTTAACAAATTGTTTACAACAAATCGTACAATTTTCCTGTGACAGTGACAACGCTCCATATACACACGGGACCAATTATCCAATATTCAAGTGCCACCATCCAATCAATTTAGTGTTAAACACCAATATGAACAACATGCAATTTACCTCTATGTACCATTATTCTACTCTTAAATCTTTCACTGTTATCAACAAATGTAAAACATGTTTATTGTTGGCTTATATAACAAAAATAAAAAAAAACTTTGAAATAAAAAAAAAATAAAAATCATATTAACATCCCAAAAGGAAGAATATGGAGCCTGAGGGGTTGAGCAAACCGGATGCCTTTGAGCAAACAACAGATGAGGGCATGTTTAACTATTGAAGTACTATCCAAACCCATATGTCTCGCTGATATAGCTGATCTGTACAGGTTTATAGTACGAAAGGCTTTTCCTTCTTCAAAGAGCAGAGTCAGAAATTGCAAGATTGATTTCACAGGAGCTGATATGGAATCCACCGATTGTCCCATGCACCAATCAGTCCATTTTCTACAAGCCGACCCGCAGGAACGTCTGGTACCAGGTGCCCAAGACTCTGCCAACAGACTGAGTGTCATCTGCGAAACATCCTCGAGATTCCATGATCTCCTGAAATGAGCCATGCCATCAGATGAAGTAGACCCTGTTCGATCAACTCGTGACTCACTCCCTCTGGATTGGTCAGAAGATAGGGTATGTCCGGCAACAGCCGTGGAAAATCTATCGACATTTCCAATAATTGTGGAAACCAAGGTTATGACCTCCATATTGGAGTTATCAGAACCAGAGTCCCTTTGGAATATCGAAGGAATGCAAGTGTCGGAGAGATTAGGTTGAAAGGTGGAAAAGCCTAATTCCTGCCCTTGGTCCATTCTTATAAGAATGCATCTGTTGCCAGAGCATCTGGGTCCGGTCTCCAACTGAAGAACTGAGGAAGTTGGGTATTCAGTCGAGACGTGAAGAGATCTATGTTGAAAGGCCCCCACAGTCGAGAGAGACATTGGAAGGTCATTGGGTGGAGATGCCATCCAATCTGATGGTAGTAGGATGTACCGAAGGCAATGAATACCCTCCATTTTGAAGTGGTGGTATTGGACAAACTCATTTAGGGGTCGGAGATTGATTACTGGGCGTACCCCGCCCCCTTTCTTGGGGACCAGAAACAGGTTGCTCACAAACCCTTCTGTGTCCCATGGGATTTGTCAAATAGCGTGTTTTGACGCCAAATCTGCAATCTCTGCCCAGATCATCATGTGGTGTTCGTCGGTCATGTACAGCTCTCGAGGGTACTGTACCTAAGTAGGGTGAGAGACTAGCTCCAATAGATACCCCTGTATTGTATTCAATACCCAAACATCTGAGATTAGGAGTTTCCAAGCATGGTAAAACAGTGCCAATCTGCCCCCCACTATTTTATGGGAAAATCGTAGATACTCGATACTCACCATAAGGTCGGAGACAGATGTCCATGGGTTTTCCAGGGGCGTCCACGAGATGGGAAGAACGGGGTATAATTTCGCTCCTGTACTGGTCTCTGGGTATTAAAAGGAGCCTCTGCCAGCTCTAAATGAGCCTCGAAATCCAGGGCCAGATAGACGGCTCCTACCTCTACCGGCCCCTCCAAAAACCTGAGGTGCAAATACTCTCTTAAACGAAGTCTGAGCCTTGTCAATTGTTATAAATGTTTTTACATACAGCCCAAGATCCTTAATGAAGGATTCACCAAAGAGTAAGCCTTTAGCGGCTGGCCCCGGCTCATTGGTCGCCATGCTGACCAGTTTGGGCTCTATTTTCAGGAGAATCGCCTTGCGGCATTCGGTTGCCATGGCCGTATTGGCATTATCCACCATGCAGACCAACCTCTGCAACCAACCTTTTGCTACTTCGAAATTGAATTCGCTCTCACCCGATTGGGCAGTTTCCACTAATTCATATAACTTAGAGATGGGCCCCTATGTGTCCAGGAACTTGTCCTGGCAGTTCTGAAGAGAAAAGTCTAAGCCTTTCCTCGGTTTCCAACCTGACTTATTAAAAAATTGGACCAACTGAAGATCCACGTCAGGGGTTTTTCCCACTAAGTCTATTAGGATGGGCCATGGGCATTCCGCCCGTAGTTTGTTACGCCAGTCCTTGGATAAAGGTTTCCGCACTCTTAGTGCAAGATATCTCGCGATGTGCTCAGGCGGCTCCCATTCCGCTGAGCGAGGGTGACGGAGATCATCTGGGTCAAACAACGGGTTACCCTGAGGGTCCCGAAGACCGTCGCCCTCGCCCAATCCAGTAGGCTCAATGCCCTGAGCCGTAACCTTCTGGGTCACAGTGATTGCTTTCACATCAGACCCAGAATCGGAATTGTCCGCACCATACTGATCCATGTATCAATGATCATACTCCTCCTCCAAACTCTGGTCCGAATCGGACGAGTCCTCATGGGCACGTTCTCGCTTACATGATCTGGCCAATTTTGCCCGGCCAAGGGCATGAGGCGTGTCATCCATTGCAGGCCGAACCTGCAGTTCTGGATGGGAAACAATGTTTGCTTGTAACCAAAGCTTTGCGTCCCGGTTGTGCCACATTAGTGGTACCCGGGTTTTGTGTGCCCTTAGGGCCACTACCCTGGGTCTGCAGCAACGCTTGGTTTATAGAGTGTGTGATAGAGGTTGATATGACCCCTAACGCGGAGGCCAAAGCCTTGTTGATGTTTTGCGCCATGGTAAAATCGAGGAGGGATTGAAATTCCTCCGATGCCATGAGGCTGGCGTCATCCCTACATTCCCTGCCTGAGGGGGGAACCCCTGGTGTGGGACACACCGACCCTGCATGTCTCTCAGTCTGATCCTGCATCCTAGCGTTAGGAATACTATCTGCCCACAGGGAAATATACTTCAAATCACACTCAGGGTCAAAATTACTGGGCCGAATAAATCAATGCTACTAGCAGTAGCTCAATTAGGGAAAAAAATATTACTAGCTAGGGCTAAGAACAAAAGGTGTCAGGATAGAGTAATCATCCTAACACTTACAGTTTGAACATCAATTAACAGCAATAAACAGCAATAATGCTCAGTATGGGTCTGGGAGTGCGCCAGGAGGGTAGGAGAGACCGTTATCCTCCTAAAACATCGATCTGCGGCAATTTCCGGCTGAAACCACACTTAAAATGGGCGTCGCGAGTGAAATATACACACGTGGTGATGGAAACCAAAAAGATGGCCGCTGCGGTGCAAACTACGCATGCGCGGCAGCTAGGATTGTGGAAAGCGGGTATTAGAGCGATCGCGCATCCGCGTACCGCACAAAACCGCGGACTAGACCACGGACACAAACGGTAAGCAGCTAGGGAGCCCAGCTGCACCACCAATGAGGCTGACAGTGCAGGGAAGGGTAAGTGGGAAAACAATTACCCAGAAGTATGGGCAGGAGGGAAAACAAGGGTCCCAGAGACCCAAATGGGCAGCACTCCCAGACACCAGCAGGACTCATAAAGCAGCAATAATAGTGAGAAATAAACATATACTAATACATAAATCTGCACAAAAAAGCATACATATATGTTTAACATTAAAGGAGTAGAAAAAGATGAAGTACTTAACTGGTCTAAGGGAGCAGCAAAAAAGAGGAGGAGTCAAGGAGCACCACGCCCATATGGACAATATTGGATGCTGATTGGTGCCAGTGTTACCAGGCTATTGTTATGTTTTTTCTATGATTCTCTCATACTTCCTTTTCTTACTGCTGGGAGAAAAATAAGAAAGAGAATGCATAATAGGAGCCTCTGTTAAACTGTATCCACTGTGCTGTTTTAGAGCCATATGTACATTATTTTAGAAATACAAGGAAGTGCATTAGGCTACTTCATCTTTATGATAACATATAATAATTTCATCTGTAATTTTCTTTCAAAAATAGATAAACTTAATTTAACAAAACAACTTTGCAACTATGTTTGATTGGCTTATTATTATTTCTTTTTCTTCAGACACTTGCAGAAAAAACGCTTAAATCTCCTGGCTCTATCCTGAAGTTGGAAACTATGAAGAAAATGAGAGAAGCTAGCTGGTCAGCTATTTCCAAAGTGGATAGAAGAAGAAAAATGAAAGCTGCAGAAAAATTATTTAATTGATTTATACACTAAAACATCAGTTGATTGAGTTGTGAGGCGGTCTTCTGCATCCTCGTGCATTTAGTTCCATTTTTGTGTTTTTCTTTTTTTGACTGTATTAGTTAACAACATTATATTTCCGTTTAAAAACATTTTACTTATAGTTTGCAAGATTGTTGTCAACTAGTGACAGCTTGTTATTTACTAAACAATTAATACTATTAATACACTCCAAATACCATAACTGATACAGCCTGCATAGTGTGTCCTGGATCACTTGGGCTTAGCTCAATGAAGACATCTCCTGGGCTAGATGTATGGCAGGCATCCTGGGGACCCAGGTAAGTGTCAAACCATTATAAAGCACTTTGACAAATTCCTCTGGGAGAGCACAAGTGCATTCTTGGCAAAATATCTTCTACATCAGACTGTAGTGGGTATGGAGCTTGGAGTGTTTCTTTAAGACTAAAATAGTGGAATTGGATAGTAGTTCCAACAAAGGTTATTTTTGCATAAAATTTGCAACTACCTCTGCGGTTCCCAGTTTAGTAAACCGTTTGTTACTGCATAAAGATAATTTATCTGGTTAATAAAATAATATATTAGAGTGTTCAAAGCATTATAAGGCTTTGATTGCCATTTAACATTCATTTAGTCATTTGTTGTTTTGTTAAGTTTGACAAACATCCTAAAACATTATCTTACTATCTCATTTATGGAAATAATTTAAATATGGCTTACCTCATTGAGTTGATGAATGCTCAGATTAGTCTAAAATTATTCCTACTTGAATTTTTGCTATTTAGCAAGTTTTAATATATGTGAATGTTTGTTACTGATGTTTGTAATTTTATGTATTGTTTAATTACATGCTTTACATGGGATTTGGCTTATCTCTTTAGTGTTAATAAATACTAAGGAATATTATATTGTTTATTTTAATCCTTAATATAAGTAATCTGTTCAACTGTATATACAATGATCATTAAATACATAAGTATTGTCAGACAGTCAAAGTAATTACTGTGCAGTGTTCTGTGTCCTTTACAGGTTTTCTATTAATTGATCTGACGCATCTAGAAGACACCAGTAGAAATTGAATAGGAATCATTCTGTCATTCCGGCACCCACACACACACACACATTTTAGGGGCGTGGGCATGACATGGGCCAATCAAATGTTAATTAAAGGCTATTTTAACTTCCCTAGCCCTATCCACTTTGCCCTATCGTGGTTTCTGTTTCAGTAGCCTTTAGTGCATTCCTGATATATAGTGTTTATTCTGGTATTGACCTTGGCTTTGTTTCTGACTCTGAGTTTATCTTTAACCCTTTCCTGTCTTGTTTGCCCATCTGACTGATTACTGTGTACTTGACCCTGATTAGTTCTTGTTTTCGCTGTCTCTCTGTTACCCTGGCCTCGTCTCGTCTCTGATTATGCTTTATCATTGTCCGAAGTTTAGTCCAGCCATTCTAAGGCCCGGTAATACATTATATCCTTGTCTTGTCCCTTGTTATCCTAAACTCTGCGTGTTGGGATGTTATAATAAAAAGTGACAGCGCTATCATAGAAAAAACTCAGTTAGGTTTGCTGAGTAATCTACTTATCAAATATGGAGAAACATAAGAAATGTATACACATATATAATCAGTGCAGAAAAATAAAATAAGATCAATCACTTTAGAAAAATAAACAATATATGTTACAATTCATGTCTCTCCAGAATATATCTATTTTAATGTCCCAGAGTCCTAAGAATGGTTGGTGAGGGGATAGTAATGCCACACAGGAATGGATCCAACAGTATTTTTGTTACTCGCAACAGTACCCACCGTACCTTAAAAAGGATACAAAGAAATCTACATAGTGTAACTCTTTTGTTTATTATGCAAAAAACCCCATCTCCCTCAAAAAGGAACCCTTACATTAATAAATTGTGGAACTTGTCTCCAAGAAACCACAATAAAGACTTTTGTTTACAGTAGGTATAGTTATCGATACTGTCCGATCCTCTTGTCTTCCACGTGCTGGCTGAACGTTCAAGTCGAAGAATAATAGTCTATGACCGGGAGGACACCGGGAATGGAGACCGCTACTGTTACCAAGCTCTGCAGTTCTCTCACCGCCTGCACTACAACGCGTTTCGCCCGTACTTGCAGGCTTTCTCAAGATCCTATCTTATTCTTAGATTTATAGTGTTGGGATATTACACCGTGACACAGTGCCTCATGACTGTAAATAAAATTTGCCATTGAAAACAAAGACAATATGGGTTAAAATGAATTTGAACAATGATAGAAAAAACAAAATCCCTTTTGGGCTTGTTTGAAATTTGATGATTTGCTTAAAAAATAGCAACATACCTGTAATTCCTTTGCATAAGGAATATTATTGTGCAGTGGCACTACAACCAGACTTTCCAGGAGTGTGTATGGAAGGACTACTACTTTATTTTCTATAGCCAACAAAGTATGTTTTGAATATTGTACGTAGGATGATATTGTAATTACACATGTTATGTAATATTTTTTCCAAAATGTGGCTAGCTTTTTGAACCAGATAGGCTTTTCCTGACACAATCAGCCTGCCCAGGTGATTGGGAGTGTCTTTTTGGACTTTTGGTAGGCAGTAGAAAGTGCTATAGTTGGGGTAGAGTGCGGTAGTATGAATTTATACTGATCTCTAGGTACTTAAAAGCAATTAAGAAAAAAAATCAAAAGGAAAAAATAATGACCTTTAACATTGAGCAGCCTCCCAACCTAGCCAGCCCTCTCATCTCAGTCCCCAATCTCTCCCTCCACAGGTAAGGAAAAGGGTTTATACTGGGGGTAAAGGAATTTGAAGACGTGATAACTGCAGATGAGATATGTGTTTCTAAAGCCTAGGATTCAGGTTGGCCAGCCAGGGCCGAGAAGCAGGTCATTAGAATGTGAGCCAAAGCCAGTTGGGTCGTGTTACAAGATAGCGTAATTGTGTTAAAAAAAATGTAAACACGGAAAACTTTCTTTCAATTTCTATAACTATGTAGAATTATCAGTCCTTAGGATTCCCCCATCCACACAGCGCCAGCAAAAGGTAGTATGTAGACTCTCTATTCTTTGCTAAAACACTTTGCACAAGTTTTACCTATGCACTATCCACTTTAGTTCTGTCATTTACTATCCTATTGTAATAAAGGGGGTTAGGGGGGCTGATTAACAGCCAACTGTATGCCAATTAAGTGTTATTGTGTTCTAATACAGGGATTCAAGCAGGGATTTACCCCTTAGGTAATAATAGAGTATTTAGTGCTGTGACAGGTAAATGTAGAGACTTACCTGTCAGTCTCTTCATTTACCTGTCAGAGCACTCTGATTGGATGGCTTAAACCCACCAA